GCCATATATGATAAACCCACTGCCAATATCATCCTGAACAGGGAAAAGCTGAAAGCTTTTCCTTTAAGAACAGGAACTAGACCAGGATGCCCACTCTCACCACTCCTATTCAACATAGTGTTGGAAGAACTAGCCAGAGCAATCAGAGAAGAGAAGGAAATAAAGGGCATCCAGATTGGAAAAAATGAAGTCAAACTGTCCCTGTTCGTGGATGATATGATCCTATATACTGAACAGCCTAAAGCCTCTACAGAAAAACTCTTGGAGTTGATAAATGATTTCAGCAACATGATACAAAATCAACACACAAAAATCAGTAGCATTTCTAGACTCCAACATTGAATATGCAGAAAAAGAAATCAAAAAAGCTAGCCCATTTATGATAGCCACCAAAAAAATAAAATACTTAGGAATAGAGTTAACCAAGGATGTGAAAAATCTCTGCAAAGAGAACTACAAACCACTGTTGAGAGAAATTAAAGAGGACACAAGAAGATGGAAAGATACCTGATGCTCTTGGATTGGAAGAGTTAACATTGTGAAAATGTCCATATTACTCAAAGCGGTCTACAGATTCAATGCAATCCCTATCAAAATTCCAATGATATTTTTCTCAGAAATGAAAAAAACTATCCAGATGTTATATGGAATAACAAAAGACCATGCATAGCCAAAGCAATCCGGAGCAAAAAAATAAAAATAAAATAATAAAGCTGGAGGCATAACACTACCTGATTTCAAAGTATATTACAAAGCTATAATAACCAAAACAGCATGGTTCTGGCATTAAAATAGACACATAGATCCATGGAATAGAATAGAGAACCCGGAAGTCAACTCATGCACCTACAGCCATCTGATCTTTGACAAAGGCAGCAAGTCTACATACTGGGGAAGAGACTGCCTCTTCAGCAAATGGTGCTGGGAGAACTGGATAATTCATATGTAGGAGAATGAAAATAGACCTGTGTCTCTCACCCTGTACCAAAATCAACTCAAAATGGATTAAAGAATTAAATATACATCCTGAAACAATAAAATTCCTTAAAGAAAACTTAGGGGAAACACTCCAGGAAGTAGGAGTGGGTACAGACTTCATGAATATGACCTCAAAAGCACAGGCAACTAAAGGCAAAATAAACAAATGAGATTATATCAAACTAAAAAGCTTCTGCACAGCAAAAGAAACAATCAGCAGAGTCAAAAGACAACCAACAGAGTGGGAGAAAATATTTGCAAAATATACATCAGACAAAGGACTAATATCCAGAATATACAAGGAACTCAAACAACTTTACAGCAAAAAAAAAAAAAAAAAAAAACCCAATTAAAAAATGGGCAAAGGAATTGAATAGGCATTTCTCAAAGGAAGATATACAAATGGCTAACAGACACATGAAAAAATGCTCAGCATCACCCAGCATTCAGGAAATGCAAATCAAAACCACTTTGAGATACTATCTCACTCCCTTCAGGATGGCTAATATCCAAAACACTGAGAATGATAAATGCTGGAGAGGTTGTGGAGAAAAAGGAACTCTCATATACTGTTGGTGGGACTGCAAAATGGTGCAGCCTTTGTGGAAAATGGTATGGAGGTTCCTCAAACAATTACAGATAGATCTATCATATGACCCAGCTATTGCACTGCTGGGAATATACCCAGAGGAATGGAAATCATTGTGTCGAAGGCATACCTATACTCCAGAGTTTATTGCAGCACTATTTACAATAGCCAAGAGTTGGAACCAGCCCAAATGTCCATCATCAGATGAGTGGATACAGAAAATGTGGTATATCTACACAATGGAATACTACTCTGCTATAAAAAGAATGAAATACTACCATTTGCAACAACATGCATGGACTTAGAGAAAATTATATTAAGTGAAACAAGTCAGGCACAGAAAGAGAAATACCACATGTTCTCACTTATTTATGGGAGCTAAAAATAAACAAACACACAAATAAAGGGTGGGGGGAAGAAGAAACAACAATCACAACAATTCCTTGGACTTGTTAAGACAAGTGAATAGATATGATGTAGTGGGGAGGGGAGGGGAGAGAGGAAGCGGGGAAAGAGTAATGGGTAAAGGGTCACGAAAATCAACCACAATGTATACTGAGAAATTAAAATAAAATAATAAAATAACAAAACAAAAAACTAGGTCCAAAATAAAAAATGATTTTGCATTCAGCCATGGTGGCATACTATCCCGTGGACAAACTAATGCATTCAAAATAAATACTGTCTTTTAAGTTTCATTTGACTTCTCAGTTAAAAGTGAATACACTTTAAGGCAAATAATTTGTATGTGACCAATTTTCAAAGGGATATGGACAACAGAGCTTCTTCTGGTGAAACAAAAAAAATCAATAAGTACTAAATTTATGCTACTTTTACGTATTCTTTGTATATATATGCTATTTCATAAATTTAAATACCATGTACTTGAAGACCTAAGTCTTTGGAATTATATTGAACTAGAATTACTATTAAAAAAAACAACTTTGAAACAAGAAGTTCAGCAATATAACTATATATCTCTACATATTATGCATATTTACTTCCAGTCATTCAAATCCTCATAGCACTCTTGTGAACTTTAGGGAAGTTTTGGCTTTATCTGGAATACAAAGAGGAAAATGGAAAAGTAAATATATGTTAGGAAATAGTCTAATTAACAGGTTTATCTTGAGTCTCTACTTAATATAATCAGTGATAAATTCAGTATTTGTATTTTCCACACGCTCTCCCAGGTCTTCCAAGTTGTACTGCTATTTAGATGAATATGATTTGTGAATTTTTTTTCTAGAAATATCTGTATTTATAATACTAAAAATATCTATTTTTTATTGGCTTCTTTATTGCTTTATATATGAGGATTCTTTAAAAAGTTCATGGAAGAATACATATTACTGTTTAATTCCATTTTTCCATGAACTTTTTAAAGTATCCTTGTATGTTTCTGCTAGAAGATAATTTGAGCTTTATAATGCACTTTTTTCACAGGTTTAAAATAGGCTGTTATATGTGATCTTGAGGACAGTGTGATAGATTACTTATATGTTTTGTCATTCTGTAGATCTATAGCTTATTTTTCTTTAGGAAGTTTATTGAAAAAAATGGAATCTAAGCCCTGGATTTTTTTATAGTCTCAGACTATAATTATTACCTTAATTGTCTAATTTATAGCACGTGAATGAATGTGATGTGGAACTGTCTAGTGTTCTTTTCTTTTAAATTTAATCATTCAGTATTTGAGTGTTTCTATAAGAGGGAATTAATATTCAATTATTTGTTTTATATTCATAAAAAAATTGTTTCCTACCAGATCACAAGATTTTTGTTGTGAAGGGTGTGGCTCTGCCATGAAGGATGTCTTGTTGCCTTTAAAATCTGGAAGTGATTCAAGCCAGGCTGACCAAGAAGCCAAGGAACTGGCTAGACAAATCAGTTTTAAGGTATTGTAAATTTCTAAATAAATTCTAATTATGAAGCATTTTGTTTACTGCTGAATTCAGGATAGAAAGAAAAGCAATATAGTTCTATTTCAGTAAGGTTTTGCAAATGATTTTTTTATTACAAAACTTATAATCTTACATTCACAAAGACACTACAGCATAATGGGTAAAGCTCAGACTCTGCTATATAATGCCAGGGTTCCAGTCCCAACTTTGCTACTTATTGTTAGTACGATGTTAGACATATTACTTAACCACTTTGTGCCTTTTTCTCATCTGTAGATACTAATGATACCTATCTTGTAGAATTGTTGTGAGGATTGAGTTAATATATGTAATACATGTATTGCATTTAGAACTGTTTCTGGTGCTTAATAAATTCTAGCTACTATTGTAGAAAATATAAATAAGCAATAAGAAGAAAATGACAATCATCCATAATCCCATCCTCAAGAAATAACTATTGTTAATGTTTTGCCATATTTCCCTTATATCCCCTTATTCTGCATATGTTTTGCTCAAACATGGATTATATAGTATTTGAATACTTTGAGTGGTCACACCCATATTAATGGAATTTAATTAGCTCCACACAGAAAATGTCAATCTGTATTAAGCAACATGTACCCTCTCCATCTTCTCCTCTTCTCTGTATCCTGACTGTCTTTCTAGGTCCGGTTCTTGGAAGTTTTTCCTTCTATTTTATTGCAGTGCCTGGAAGAGGATGTGTTCAATAAATGTTGGTTATTTTCTTCCTTCTGAGGACTCCTGTTACACTTAAAGTTGCTTCTCTGAAAATCTTAGGGCCAGATGTGTTTTGTACAGCAGAATTTTTCAAATTGGAAAAAATATTTTACATGTACTGTATGTAAACCACAGTAGAATCTGGGACGTCATCTCAGAATCAGATTTGTTAATATTTCCTCAGCAAACACCAATGTTGGATAAAGACTGTGAACAGCCTCACATCAGTTCATGTCAGGCTTTGCCTAAAATTTACCAGAAAAACTTTATTTAGAGCTTTTTAGAATTGTGGATTGTGAACCATGGGTGTTGGTTTTATCCCTTCCAAGTAAGAGCTCCTTGAGAACAGGGATTGTTTATGCCTTTTCCTGTAATACCTAGCACAGTGCTGGACACATGAGTGTTCAATGCTAACTGATTGATGGTAGATGTTAAAAACTAGCAGGTAAATCCAAGAGAGGGAATGTAGTAGGTTGTGGGTTATTCCATTTTCTTTATTCTGTGTGTTTCCTGTTTTAACACTGCTTTTGGATGTATCTTGTTTATAGGCAGAAGTCAATTCAACTGGAAAGACTATTGCTGAGTCAGACTTAAACCACTCTTTTTCACTAAATGATTTACAAGATGATATACCTACAACATTCCAGGGTGCTACTGCCAGTACGTCGGTATGGCTCTTGTCTTTTCATATATATGTATATCTATATTATTACCATTATTTGTAAAAGGAGGAGAAGATCCCTAGATCAAATATCTGAAAATTTTGATTCTCCTAAGAATTAGATTCTAGCCCAGCTATTCCTCTAATGAATTATATTATCTTGAGCAAGTTATTCATACTTTGAGGGCCTCTGGTTTCTTTTTTCTTAAATGGGGCTGGACTAAATAATTTTTAAGTCATATTCTCCGTCCATAATTCTCTGAAAAGTTAGTTTAAGTATAGTGCTAGACTCTGAACAAAACAAAATATACGTATGTTAGCCACTTTCTAAATAGCATATTTGGCAGGTTCGTTAAGTGCATTAAGGCACCAACTTAATAAAGACCTGGAGCCAAAAATTTGCCTTAGACTTGCTCTGTCCAATACAGTAGCCACTAGCCATATGTGGCTGTCTAAATGTAAATTTTTTAATAAAAATTGAATGAAGTAAAAAAATTCAGTTTCTCAGTCAATCTAGCCACATTTCGAGTGCTCCATAGCCACAGTTGACTAGTGGCTGTCAGATTACACCATGTAGATATAGAATAGTACCTATCATTGCAAAATTCTATTGGACAGTGCTACCTTGCACATAGTAAGTGTCCAGTAAATAACGAATGAAAGAATGAATGAATGGTATGGGTAGTGTTAATTGTGCCCTGACCTATTGTCTAAAAATTTTGGTGAACCTAGATGATCAGAGAGATATATTAAAAAAAAATGACTGTATCAGTGCTAAATTAATAGATATGGAGAAAAACAATGACTTTCTGTATATAAAAGGTGAACTGTCTTTTGGTGTCTTTTTGGTAACAGATTGTTAAGTAGCCACATATCATTTTTTTTTCCAGTTTATAGAAGACTTCAATGGGTCAGGAAAATTGAAATAGAAACTGGGCATGAACTGTCTTTTGGTGTCTTTTTGGTAACAGATTGTTAAGTAGCCACATATCATTTTTTTTTTCCAGTTTATAGAAGACTTCAATGGGTCAGGAAAATTGAAATAGAAACTGGGCAAATATAGACTTGCCCTTTACCTGGGAATAACTTCATATATAGTGGGACTGAATAGTCTTGAGTGGGTCTCTCCTACTGAGAGTCAGCTGGGCAGAGAAAAGTAGGTTGAAGAAGAACAGGGGAGAGGGTGCTGTAAAGGAAGTAAGTACTAAGTAGCAGGACTGAAGATGGAGGTATATAAGAAAAAAGTGTATGTAGATGAGTTTAAATTGTTTTTATGTGATCCCATTCTAATTTTATGAATTGCAGAGGAATATAATGAATTAATTTTAAAGTCAGTGTATGTTTTAGTATATATTTGAAATATTAAAGCAAATTTCCAATTACTTTTCACCTTTAGCATTCCAATTGTTTCTTATTTCATAAATAGTTTTTTAAAAAATAGAACCATTCTGTTACAAAGAGGAGGGTGGTAACCTTGTTTTTCACCTATTAGGACAATTTTTCTAGTATTTGTGTTGTATTTAAATCTGTCTTTTGTGTATTTTAAATCTATGTCAAGTCCCTTTGTTACATATTCCAGTTATAACAACTGTAATTTATCTCACTTCCCAGAATGTAAGTTCCTTGAGGGTCAGGACTGTCTTTTAACTTTTCCATTTTTATCTCCAGTGCCTGGCTTAGTACCTCCTATATAGTAGGTGGTCAATACATATTTGTTGATTGGATGAATGAATCTTAGGATTGGCACTTTTGAAAAATATTTGGAACACGGTTAAAGAAACCAAGAAGTTTAAGTAAATTAGAGTGTACAAACAATAATATTATTTAGTAGTATTTTCCATTTTGATTTTAATGTTCATAGAACTTAGAATTCTTTTTTATAGATATAGGTCATTAATTGAGACCAATTTTGGTTAAAATACCAATAAGCAATAAATTGTCTACAATTACAATTAAGCTTTAAATACATTTACATATAAACTATCTCAGAATGTGATTATATAATTTGACCACTATGGAAGTGACTGTAACCTGGTTTTGGCTAGGTGTGGCTGCTTTGCATGCAAGTGTACGATAAATTCCCTGAGACCTTATACATCAAATCCCAGATAAGCTAGGTTTTTTTTAGCCTTGAGGGGGGTGAGAGATTGCCAGAAGTCTAAATACAGCAGATAACATCAGGCCATCTGTTGCTTTTTGATGCAGATTTTTTAGCTATGTAGAAATTGGAAAAATACTGATGGTTGTTTTATGTTCTTTCAGTCTATCAGATTTTCTCCTCTTCCCAGGGATTGAGGTTCTGAATAAGCCATTACATTTTGCATTAAAAAACAAAAACAAAACTCTCTTACAGATGTTGGTTATTCTAGGTTATTATAGAAAAATTGATACAGTATGTATTACTAGGGACTTAACTACGAGTATGATTGTTTTAAATAGGAAACATTTTAGAATTTTATAATGTCAAGGCACTAGATTTTAGTCAGTGACATCCAAAAGGCATCTGAAACATAGGAACCTAATTAAAACATTATATCTATCTAAATATTTCCATTAAGTATATATACTAAAATATCATCTAGAGTTTATGTTTTAAGGAATTGGTTTTCTAAACATATTAATCATACTAATAAGGGACTGAAAAGCTGTCCTAAGTAAAATCACAAGTTTTTTTTTAAAACCTAAATCTAGATGCCTCCAAAGGGATGTACTCATAGTAACAATATTAATAATAACTAACATTTAATAAGCAATTGTGTGTCCTAAGCACTTTCTATCATTATCTCATTTAATCCTCACAATGCCAAATTGGATGTTATTCTCACTGCACAGATGAGAGAGCTAAGTCTTAGATTAAATAACTTGCTTAAGGTCACACATCTACTAAGGGGAAAAGCCAGCCTAGTAATGATAAGTTTCCTGCTTTGGTCAGGCTTATGGGCAGAATAATGTTCTCTTCTCAAACTAATTGAAAAAATAACGTGTATTAAATAAAAGCTTTAATTTGAGTCAATCTCTTGTGCTAGTTTCTGGATTGATAGCACCATCATGTTTTTTTATTTTCCTCAAGATCCCATTTTTCCTTTATTTCTTGAGTACTTTAGCTCTATTAAACGCTTTTATCATTTTGGCTGAACAATAGAAAGAATGGGAGATTTCAAATGGAATGTTTCTATATTGGCTGCCATAACTCATTACAATTCAGTGAGTATTTATTAACTCATTGTATGATGCCAGTGATGATGTATGACTTCATATAATGCTGCAGCTTTGTGTGTCTGCTCTCTTCGGTGAGCAGATTGCTCCTAGGAGTCCTGGATTATGGAAGTCCACGTTCATGCAACTCTAATTCAGTATCAGCACTAACTTTTATTTATAACTCAAAGTCAGTAGTTCCTTTCTACCTCTGTATTATGGGTCACTACATTTCAGTGATTTCAGAGTATTTAAGCTTTTAATGTTGAGATGAATGTCAGATTTAAAATGGAAATTCATCTGCAGGTAAATTAGATTAGCAGTTTCCTCCCTGAATGTTTATAGCTGTTGCCAACACAGAGCACATCCTCTTACCTTTTAAAATTATTTGAATTACATTTTTTATTCTTTTTCTTCCAAATATTTAAATTTTCTCTAATGAAAAGTATTTTAAATGTTTTATACTTAATCAATTTTAAGCTGTTTTGAGTAAAGCATGCATTCTTTATTTTTTGTTAGAAAGAATGTGGATTGGCATAATGTAAAATCAATATACAGGTTGCTTTCAGTAAAAAAAAATCAAAGGACATTGTGTTTGTAGAGGTAGAGTTAAGATGTCTACATAAATAAAATGGAATTTATGTTTTGTAGAGTGTCCCTGAATATGCCATTACCATTTTTTCTTATTTATAAATCATATTTAAGATTTTGAGTCACTCGATATCACGTGTTTATGCTTTGGCTGACCAGTTGAAGTAATAGAAAGCAGTTGTCATCCAGGGCTTAATGGGGAGCAACCAGTGTACCAAAACAGAGGATACATTGAGTCCCACAGGACGTACTCCAGATTTTTCTCAGCACATACCTAGGGAACTCTTGACAGCATAAAGTATTCAATATTAAGTAAAACATGCTTCTGGACTTGTGTTCAATTCAACTGACAGGAATTGAAAGAAAGGATAAGCCTGGTTTGAAAACCACACCTAATTCTTACAACAATATTGCTGTGAAGAATGTACAGTTTGAAGTTATTTCTTATGCTCTGTGATTGTTGGTGGAAGCCTGTTGATACAGTAAGATGGTATCTGGGAAAAGCCCAGTTCATGAAAGGCACACTGTTGAGAGTTGCCTGTTTTGCCATTTAGAATGGCTAATTTTCAAGCTGAAAGTGGAAATAAAATTGCTTCCCTCTTTGAATCTACTGAGAGAAGGGAAGTACTCAGGTGCTTAGCAGATACTACTTGAGTTGCATCTGAGGGAGAGTAGAAAGCCATCTACGGAGCATATGGGTAAACTTTTAACTAATCTTATCTGTTGTTGGTAAATTCCTCCTCTACTTACTGGGTACTCAGTAAGTTGTGTTGCTGTTTTATTCAGGAGGGTGAGGTATTAGTCTCAGCATTCAGGTAATTCTATGTAGTTTTGCCTTTAGTCATATTTAGGACTCTGTGATTCTGCGTGTTCTTGACTAGATAACAAATATATATACAAATTTTCTTTGCCAATTTCAAACAATATTTCTTAAAATTTCCTAGTATGGAGTCCAGAATCCCTCAGCAGCATCCCTTCAACAACCTACCCAACCTGTAGCTAAGAATACCTCCATGAGCCCTCGACAGCGCCGGGCCCAGCAGCAGAGTCAGAGAAGGTCATCTACTTCACCAGATGGAATCCAGGGCCAGCAGCCAAGAGCCAACCACACCGATCATGGTGGATCAGCTGTATTGATTGTCATCCTGACTTTGGCATTGGCAGCTCTTATATTCCGACGAATATATCTGGCCAATGAGTACATATTTGACTTTGAGTTATAATATTGTTTTGTGACTTAAGAGCTGTGACTCAGCTGTTTCATTAAACATTCTGCATTGGGTATAATCTAAGAATTGTTTACAAAAAGATTATTTTGTATCTACCCTTCATTCCTTTTTTGATCCTTATAAATTTAGTATAAATATAGCTAGATGTTCAGGCAATGTCCAGCAGTGTGTCCTGTTTAGTTTAAGGGACCGGAAGTCAAAGTTCCTTGTCTCACTCTTTGATCTGCTTTATAGGGAAATAACATTGTTGTTTCTCATGCCTCAGCTTCTTTTTATGTAAAATTGTGATACTCTTCTGTATAGCCCTTTGAAATTTTCGGATAAAAGATGGTGTTTTAAATTCCAATGAATATTACCAGTTACTCAATACCATTTATTGAGTACTCTGTTTCTACTTATGTAGAATGATATAGGAACAGAAGAGTTGAAAAGGGAAAGCAAAACTCCTCTAGTAGCTTCCTCAAAATGTCATTCATAAAAGATACACTGGGATTGCCCATTCTATGCCTTTGTTTGTGTCCTAAATATTCTTCAGAAAAAAAAATTTTATTTCTGTCAAACATTTATGAGCAAGTGAAATCACATTTTTGTTATTGGATGTTACTTGAAGAGGGAGTAATTTGTAACCACTTTGATATGCCGTTACTATCCCCCTCTCTATGATATGCACACAAACTTAAAAAGAAAAAACTGTCCTCCATAGATCTTTATTTTAAGGAAGAAAGGGTGCAAGCCAGGAAATTGCTTGATTTTCTTCTGAAACTTAAGTGAGAGTATCTTAAGATTTGAATGTTTGCTCTGCTTTGAATTGTATTATCTTTTGAGATGTATTATATGCCTAACTTTGCAATCACTATAAATTTTAATTATTCCGAGAATATGCATAATGTCGAAATATTTCATGTACCATTTTAATAGAAAAGCTCAGGGCCCAATTAACAGTGGTAGAAGTCAGAAAAACATTTACTTAGAAATGTCCACCTAATCAAAGCCCAAAAAGGAGTTTTCAGTGGAAAAATCAATGTATAACTTTGCGCTAGCTAGCTCCACAGACGCTAGTAGATAATGTTATTATTTTAATGCCTGGTGAGACTATATAATCACAGTAAGACTTTCCCTTCAGTGTGTTCAGTTAGCAGCACTGAGGATGTTGTTAATGAAGATTTAATCTTTAAATACAGGCAGTCCCCAGCTTTCAAATAGGTTATGCTCTAAAAGAGCATTTGTAAGTTAATTTTTAACGTTGTAAGTGGTATTTAGGTTCTATACCAGTCCACCAAAGTTAGCCCATATGTATCTTGAATAGTTTGGGGGAGAGTATTCATAAAGTCCTTATGTGTTTTTAACTAAAATTATGGGCAAGATAGAAACAATTTATAAAATCATTTAAAAGGCAAATTTAATTTTACTCCTGTTATGGGACTTTGGTTCTATTAAACATCAGACACAATTTCTGTTTTCATTTGATAGACAGTTTTCCTTTATGTCTGCATCTAGAATAAGAACATATTGTATACTATTATATAATACAGAGTTGTCTTAACCTTTAATAAATTAGCATTTTAAAGATGTTTACAGATTGTTTCTGTTACATCTATAGCTGAAGTTGGTAAAGTCTAAAAAGCCCAAGGACTTTATGAAGACCTCCTATGTCAGGAAAATTATAGGTTACCATTTTATAACTTTATTTTCATGAGAAAATACATTCTGAAGTCTTGGTTTGGAATACAAGACACTAGAAATGTTGGTTCAGTGGTCAGTGGCCTCCCAGCAAGTAGGCACTGACCCAGCTGGGAAGGCCAGCTAGCATTCTTGCCTGAGAAGAAATCCCCACACCCTCAGCCTATGCTGAGATTAATTGTGTGCTAAGAACAATCTTCCCGTCTATTTCCTCTCAGTCACACTTGAGCCAGCCTCTGGGTCTATGTGACCATGGGGTGTACCTATACTTTAAGAGTAAGCCAAGAAGATTTTGCATCATGCAGATCCTCCTCTATCTGACCTGCCTCTCTTCCCTCATTCATCAACTAACTGGCCACCTGCTTATGTGTGTTGGGATTTTTTAGCCCTTGATGCATACATCTGAAAGTGGCACATTTTGCTCCTTCCATTTCATCTCAGCTGTGCCCCCCAAAATCCTTAATTGTCGGTCTGACCCCCATGTGGGGTTAATGAGCAAAATTGTTCTTTGGGGCTTTTCTTACCCAAACCCCACTAAAGGGCCTCTTCGGAAAAGTCCCACTTTTCTTTTAAAAGTTCCACTTTTTTTTTTTTTTTTTCATGGCTGGCTGGTACAGGCATCTGAACCCTTGATCTTGGTGTTATCAGCACCAGGCTCCATGTAGTGAGCAACTGGCCAGCCCTAAAACCCTACTTTAACTCCTTAGTTCCAGCATAAGGCCAGTCTCGATGTATAATCTGGTAGGTAAAGGCTTAGGACTCCTTTTTTCTCCAATCCTCAGATCTAGGTAACTCATGGCTTTTTCTTTGACCAACAGAGCACATGACTACATATCAAGGTAGTTAATATAGCATGCTTGAAAAAATATATAATGTCTGTTTCACTTCTAATTGTTTAAGCCAATGAACCTTTCAAATTGTATGTAATGTGGGCTTTGATGTAGCACTTTACATTTCCATGCTGCTTATTATTGTTTTATTCTACTGAAATAAATGAATTTCATCAAGATTCATGAAGTTTTTTAAAAACTTCAAAAAAATTGTTTATTGTTTTGATGATGGAAATATGAAATTTCGTATTTCAGGAGAATAAGAACTCTTTTTCTTATTTTTGGCTATGAATAAACTTTCTGGTATCTTGAGACCATTTTTATAGACCAGAATCAATAAACAAGTAAACCTCACATATCTGGACTTATTTGAGCAGAAACCTAGGCTGAAGTACTGAAGAGCCTATATTGTTTTGTTACCTGCAAGTTAATTTATGTAGACTGAATGCATCTGGTGAATCTGACTTTAACAAAGAGTAATGTGTACATTAATATATGTACTATTAGAGCCTTTGTGGGAGGCTGTGCATTGCTTTAAAGCTGTTTGGAATGCCTCTTGAACAGTTAGTTGCCTTCAGAGCTAGATTGAGCTGCTCAATAAAACCAGTGACTTTATTCATACCTTGTTTTTGATGAAAGGTTGTATTCTTTATGTCATCCAGTCTTGTCTCCTGTTCATTCTATCTCCTTGAACATCTCTCTTGCATCGTTCCACTTCTCTTCATGCTCACTGCCACTGCCCTAATTAGCTACTATCTCCTCTGAATTAGTACAATAATCTCCCAACAGGTCTCCAGTCTTACCCCATTCCTCACACTGCAGCCAGAGTCTTCTCAATACACAAACCTGATCCCATCTTTCCCATTGGTCTTAAGATCGGCTCAGATCCTTAACATAGGACACAAGGCTGAGTGTGACCAGAGTCCTGCCTAGCTTTCTGGCATAATCTGATCTCAGCAAATGATGCTGGGGCCTTCCCACAGCTCTGAGCATTAGCCACTGGGGCTGATCCTGCGTTCTGAGAGAACGAGCAAATGTTAAAGTTATACCATTCACTGCCTCACACCATATATAAAAATTAACTCAAAATGGATGAAAGCATTAAATATAAGAGCTAAAATTATAAGACTGTTAGAAGGACGCAGTAAATCTTTGTGATAATGGGTTAGGCCGTGGCTTCTTAGATAAGAGATCAAAAGCGCAAGCAACTAAAGAAGAAATTATATTTCATCAAAATAAAAACCTTTTATTTTAAAGAACACCATCAAGAAAATGAAAAGACAGCACAGAATGAGAGAAAACATTTGTAGAGCACACACCTGATAAGGGACTTTTGTCCGAAATATCTAAAGAATAACTTAAAATTCAATAGTAAAAAAATAAGTAACCTGATTAAAAATGGCAAAGGATTTGTATAGACATTTCTACAGAGAAGACATACAAATGGCCAATAACCACATGAAAAAGAAGTTCAACATTATTAGTCATTAGGGAAATGCACATTAAAACCACAGTGAAATAACATTTCACACTCATAAAGATGGTTGGATAAACAAGCCAGGTAACAAATGTAGGTGAGGATGTGGAGAAATTGGAACACTCACACATTGCTAGTGGGAATATGAGATAGTGCAGCCACTTTGTAAAACAGTTTGACAGTTTCTCAAAAAGTTAAAGTTACCATGTGACCCAGCAATCCCACTCCCAGGTATATATCCAAAAGAAATGAAAAGATGTTTACACACAAATTTGTACACAAATATTCATAGCAGCATTATTGTTAATAGCCAAAAAGTGGAAATTCAAATGCCCAACTGATGAATGGATAAACGTGTTATATCCATACAGTGGAATATTATTTGGTTATAAAAAGGAATGAAGTGATGATCCATGATACAACATGGATGGACCCTGAAAACATGCTGAGTGAAGCCAGATACGAGGCTGCATATTGTATGATTCCATTTATATGAAATGTCCAGAATAAGCAAATCCATAGAGACAGAAAGTAAATTGGTGGTTTCCAGGGGCCGAAGGGAAGGGGGAGTGAGGAATGATTGCTAATGGGTATGAGGTTTCTTTTGGGGGAGATGAAAATGTTCTAAAATTAGTGGTGAAAGTTGTACAACTGTGGATATGCTAAAAACCACACCTTAAAGGGATGAGTTTATGATATGTGGATGACATTTCAATAAAGTTGTGATGTAAAAACAAAAATTACAACATGCAACTGTGATTCTCTCTACCATTATGACAGTAATTGAACTATTGATAATAAGACAGCTTCAAAGAAGAAAATTGGTAGGACCTAAAATTGTATCTAGAATGCAAAAAAAAAAAAAAAAAAAAACCCAAATATTTTTTGAGAGTCAACAACACCCAAGCCCTATTCTAGGGTTCTAGCCAGTCATTATAGGCTTGTTGCAAATGGAAGAAAGGAAAAGAAAAATCTTCTGAACAGCATTTTTGGAAAAGAATTTTAATAGGTCTCTATCTTCACCACTAAATATTCAGGAGGAGTAGGACTTTATTTATTTATTTACTTATTTTATTATTATTATTTTTTTAAAAGATGACCGGTAAGGGGATCTTAACCCTTGACTTGGTGTTGTCAGCACCACACTCTCCCAAGTGAGCCATGGGCCAGCCCAGGAATAGGACTTTTAAAGAAACTCCCCTGTTAATTCTGAGAAGTGGCCAGATTTGGGAACTACTGAATTAGCCCCCATACTGAACTATTCACACTCCCAAGTGCCTGTTTAACCCATTATAATGTGGCTTGCTGCCACATCTCACAACTGAAACCATACTTACTGAAGTTAGGAACGATGTTCTGGTTGCCAGATCCAGTAAGCTGTTCTGTGCCCTCACTTTGCTTGACCTCTTCATAGCACTGACTGTTGACTACCCTCCTCCCCAAAATTCTTTGGTTTTCACAATCAACTTCTTTGCTAGTTCTTCTATGCTTTCGTTCTGGCTGCTCCATCCATCTTTAAAAAGTGTAAATTCTCCAGAATTCTATGCTTGGACCAGGACCTCTCTGTTGTGTCTGAAAGATCTCACCCTTTCCTATGGTTAAACTACCAGCACGCCCTAATGGCTCCACATCTCTTTCTCAAATCCAGACCTTTCTCCTGAGCTCCAGGCTCATGCTCCAGCTGCCTATTTGGGCATCTGGAGGTTCCACAGCACCTCAAAGTCTACAAGTCAAAATTCGTCTCATCTCCCCACCACACTTGCCACCTCTGATGGGTATCAGTTAATGGTGGCATCATCCTGGAGACCCAACTCCAGTATCACAAATCCTTGATATTGTTGATGACTTCTCGCCTTCTCTCACCTCTTCCTCTATCCAGTCACCAAATGCATTCGACTTCAGCACTGACTCGAGGATCTCATTCCCTGATCTTCCTTCCTTTTCTCCTTTCCCCTTCCCTCCCCTTAGGGCAGAACCTCATCCACTTTTGTTATTACAACTTCCCTGATCCAACTGATCCCAACTAGGAATTTCTTAAAAAATAAAGTAGATCATGTCATTCCATTTTGCTTAAAGAAATAAGAAGAGCTTTTTTGTTTTTGTTTTGTTTGTTTGATTCTTTCCTTACTACATAAGAAAACCACAATTCTGTTACACTTCTGGCTATTCCTCCTCCTGACCTCCATCTTCACCCCTCTCATTTCTACCACACCAAATTCTCCATTGCTAGACACACCAGGCAAGCAATAAGTAGTCTTTAAACACATTTTATTCTGTTCAGAAGGCTAAACATAGCCACATGTATTTTTACACTTTTAATGTGTGTAATTCAATATCCCAGGTTAGGAATCAAGCTTAACTTATGATGTTTGACTTTATACATTTTAGGGTTAAAGACTAACGTTAATTATAATGCTCATTACAGGAAGAAGAGCTTGCATAATAATGAATTCTCCTTTGGTTTATTTGGCCTTCAAAATCAAAATGTGTCCTATGATTCAATAAGATGTTTTAACTGGAAAAAACAGACGTGTATTTGGGGGGAAAGTAAGCGTTCTTGGCCACAGCAAAGTGTATTCTTTTAGATCAAGACATAAAGCAACCCTGTGAAAACAGGTCATTCATGTGTTTACTCTGCATTTCCCGAACACATTCATGTCCTCATCTCCATGTCCACCAAGTCTCTCTGCAAATCCACTCAGAATCCAGCTGACTCCCTGGTGGGTGGAACAGACTGGTTTTATGCAGCCAGAGAGATGGATTAATGATCTCAGCAAAAAGCTGGCATGTTTAAGAGATTTAATTTTTTTATATAACAGTTTTAGCCAAAGCTGTTCTAGGATTCACCGGAAGCAGAGTTTCACAGGAGAACAAACTTCTTGACTAATGGCCAATCACTAAGCACCAGGGAGGGCAAAGCCTGATGTTTGTGTCACGGCCTAGTACGCAGGGGGTGGGGGTGGGACAGGCATCAGTATCAAATAGTAAACCGGGAAGATCAGCCTTGCCAGCCAGGCCCTCACAGCCCCTCCGAGGAAGCAGCACGCTGAGTCAATGGTTAAGCCAGGGAGGATTTGCCCTGCTGCAAGTTACTGGAAAGCAGCTTGCTGCATGATAGACATCCACAAAATGCCTTATTTTACAAGACTCATTTTGTTCTTGTTTTGTCTGATGGTTCTTGTGGAAAGCAGAAAGCCCCGGAAGAAGAGATGGACAGGGCAGCTGGAAATGCCCAAGCCAAGGTAACGTCATGGCTGGGAGGGGAGGGAGGTCACCTTTCGCAGTAGCAGTAACAGCAGCAGCAGCACCATGGGACAGCTCCCCAGGAGGGCTCTGGGTTATGTCCTTATATCCTCCTATTAGAATTGGTTTTCCAGTTGGAGGTAGAGGGGGCCTCGATCTCACTGAAAGCAGCCTCTGGCTGGGCACAAATATTCTGTGTCACAAGCGCCAAGAGCAAAGCTAGGCTGGGTCAAGCCTTTCATTTCTATATCAGCCTGTGTTCAGCCAAAGCATTTTGATTTGATGCAGATAGCTGAAGACTTAGTGAGTAAAAACAATTCTTTGTGTTTCTCAGGTTGTGCTGCTTTGTGTTTTAGGATTACTTCCCATAGAGACCTTAGATGGCCTGCTAAATAATTACACTCAAGAATTTTGGGGAGAACTGTACATAGGAATTTAGCCTGAACTATTAAGAAAAATGTAACTGGGAGTTGTCCTTAAATTGTGTGATAGGGAATAACTTTATAATGGTATTGGGTTTCATTTTACTGTTTTAAATCTTAGAAAAGGTGTTTGAAATTTGCTAGATTATCAGAAATCTATGTGTGGACAACAGTGAACTCCATTTCATGATGTAATTGAGACACTTCCAAGAAATACTGGTTAAGCCCAGAATTTTCATTCAAAATCATTACATTGCAAGTAATGTAATTACTAGTAAATTTGTTTTGAACTGATGTACAAAGCATGATACTCCAGGCCTGAGGTAGATGTAAGGACTGTTAGGCATGAAGATAAAAGAAGAATTAGCAGCTAAGATACAAACACCATGAACGGGATGTTACACATCTATTTTCCAGTCTCCTATGCTGAGCGAACTAGGGGTATTGAATATAAACTAATATCTTGAAGCACATTTTCTAGGTCAGGGTCTCCAAATATTTTTGATCATGCAGTGCTATCAGTGACAATTTTTTGAAACTGCAACTCCACTATATGTACTTCTGTTTATGAATTATATACATGTACCATTATAAATGTGTATATTAAATTAAAGTTTGATTGCTTCCTTAGTTTTAGAAAAAAATAACTAAGTATATGTAAGAGTTACAGTCTCTACTTCTGGCACCCCAGTGGAGACTGCTGCTATAGGAAATGTAAATACTCTCTAGGGCCTAGTGTTACTCATCCAGAGAGCAAACACACCCAATCCTCCAGAACGGTGGGAAAGAGACACTGCTCTGGAAGGCTTACCCTGGTTACATTCCTGGAATCACAGGCTGGAAGGGACCTCAGAGGTTGTGTGGTCCAGCAATTTCCCTGAGCTCTAATTTTGGGAAATGTGAATAGGTGTTGTATGAAAAGGAGGTTCCATAGTCAAAGAAGATTGAGAAACCCAGGTTTAAACCACTTTAAACAGATGTCTTTACAGCAGAATTTCTAGAACCTTTACTATGCAAATAGGCATTGCAAGTCTTGGGGAGGGGGATAAATTATGCAGTGTTTCTCAGAAACAATAACAACAACAACAAAATCCACACTCTCTTTGGACTACCTTGTAGGATTTCTATTTCAAGGAGCACACACTGGGAAACTCCAAATCAGCTCATTTTATAGATGTGGAAGTGGTGGCCCAGAGGCAGGAGTAATTCTCAAGGTTTGCTAGTGACTTGACAAGATTACAACGTAGGTTCCTGATTTACTCAGACTGTGTCTGAAAGTGTATCTGAAATTCTGTTCTCTATGAACGATGCTGGGGTTCAGCACAAGCCCCTCGGGGATCCTCAGGGACCCCGCTCGGCAGCCTGTCATAGCACCTCCATCACTTCTCAGAAGACACACAGTCTCATTCCCAGATACATGCTTGGGCCTGGGGACAGCTTAAATATGACTTTTAGGTGTGAGGAAAATTTCTTGAAATTCATCCTATGAGGTATTAAAGTAGAAAAAGATGAACACAGGTATTCAAAGAAAATAAAATAATGATTGACCCGAGGCTGGGAAAAAAGGACAGGGAACCTGGTTCTGGCCCTTTCTGCATCCTCCAGGGTGTGCACATGGCCAGACAGTCATAGAATTTTCTCCCTGTGTAAAACTTCAGCCAAGCATCTGGCAATTTATCTTCTGAAACTACTTTTATTATTGACATACAGGGTTGAGCTATACTAATAAGTTAGAATAAAAGGACCTGACCCTTTCTGTTTATAATCTTAGAGCACTTTATCTCTTTGGGATACCTCTTTTTCTCAGAAGTCCTGTACACACACAAACACACATACATGGTCATACTCAAACACACATGCCACACACCACACACACGGTCTCTTACACACAGTCACACACACCTAGTCACTCATGTATACCACACAGTCATGCTCACACACACACGCATGCATGCACACGCACACACTGTCAGGACCTCTTCTCATAGGTAAGACTTCCCGGCGTCACCCTGGCCAAGGCACCCACATGAAACTATTATCCTGCCCAGCAGCTGATTTTCAAGAACTGGTTCTGGTTTTCTGATCCTTTGTGTCCCTCCTCACTGAGTCGGTGCTGGGGGATCTGTGTTCTCTTAGCTGCTGTTTGCTTTGCTCTGTTCTTCGTGCCCCTCAGCCTCCCGACCTTATCCCTGCTCCTCTGGCCTGCTGTCTGCCAGCCTTCTGACCACAACTGCTTGCTTTCCTGACAAGGGAGGCCCTTCTCCCTTGAGATCTGAAAAATAAACCAAACTCTGGGTGTGGGAGTCTGTCCCTTCATGGTCTCAGAGCCTGCGGTCCCCACTTCGTGTTTCCTTTCCCACTTGCCGTCTCCTCAGGACCGCCTGCCCCTGGCCAGCCTTCTCTTGGTCTGCATCATCAGTTTTGACTCTCGTCCATCTCAGAGGGTCTTGGGGTAGGAAAAGGAGCTGAGAAGTCAGGGAAAACAGGTTCAGACCCGGGTTCTGTGCTCTCGGGCCATGCGGTAGTATTTCCTGACCGTTCTGAACCTCAGTTTCTCCAACTGAAGATGGGGGTGGTGGGACCTTCCCCACTGGGGTGATGTGAGATTGGAGTGAGGTTGTGTGAAGTCCGCAGCTCGGGGCCTGCACAGAGAGGGGTGCCGTCCATGAAGGCATGGCTATTATGACTGCTATTGACGGCCAATAAATCACAACATGATGCCACCAGCCCTGCTTCCAAAGGCATAGTAAGCACATTTTCCTTCTTTTCTCCACCCCCCATCCAAAGACTGGGTGTGAGGGCCTGGGCAGGTTCTGGCTGCCCCGCCATGGGGTGGGGCTCAGGAGTCTGGGGTCTGAGGGCCAAGGCCATCTGGGTAGTGCCTGGCCATCTCCTGTGAGAGGATGGATCGAGAGCACTGGCTCATGCAAATAGCCCAAGATCTGGATCTCGGTGGCCTGTGTTATCAAACAACTGATCCCTTAAAAAAAAAAAATGAGGGACCTCAATGGGGGTGGGATTTAAATCTCCTCTCGCTCGCTGGGGTGCTGGCATTCTGGGACTTCCACTGTCCTAATCCTCCCCTAAATGGATGTGGAGCTGTGCTGACCAGGAGGATTTGCTCCCTGTGAGGCAGAGGGGCGGTGAGCAGGCTGCACTCACAGTTTAATGTCTGTGATGAGAAATTTATAAAAAGAAAAATGTATAATGCTCTTCTACCATTCCACCCAACCCCTTCCCTCCAATCATAACTTTTGCAAGACAATTAAGAGCTTGCAGAGGTAGAATGCTGTACTGCCCAAGAGGGCACCCCCTTAGGAAGGCTCTGGAGGGCCTGGTCCTCAGGTCGGCCTGCTTGGGAGGGTCTGGGGTGCTTGCTGGTCTAGGGGAGCTCAGCTCTCCCCTCCCCTGGGTTAAGAAGGAGACGGCAGGGTGGAGAAAAGCTGCCTGACAGGTAGATCCTGCAGGGAGTAATCTCCCCAAATCGTCTCCCTGGAGGCCTCAGTGGGCCGATGGAAAAACGCTTCTTACTTCTCTTTTAGCCACCTGTATAAGAAGAACCTCGATGTGACCAAACTGGGAAAAGAAAAACATCAGCCGCTTCTCAGAGTGGACAACCACGACTTCACCATGAGGCCCGCCTTTGGAGGTAGGACTGTGTCCTGCTCTGGGTGCTGGCATGGGGGGGCCTGGTCCCCAGAGCCACACTGTCTGCTTCTCTCGGCACCACCGGGATTTACCCACTGGGTCAGATGAGGCCACCTCCACTTCCTGAGTCACTTGTTTTCCACGGAGGGGAGGGGAAAGTGGTGGTGGAGACAGAAGTGGCAGAGAGGGCTGTTGACTTAAGAGGCGACTAAGCTGTTTACGGTCACAAAGGAGACTAGCCCTGCTGCTGCCAACTTTCTTCTCCGAAAACAATAAAAGCAGGCACATAGTCAGGGCACAAAGCGGCCCCTCTGCTTGGCTGCCCTGCCCAGCTGTGGATTTCTGCCTGTGAGGGGCCACCTGCTCCCCAAGGCAGCAGCGACAGAGAAGTCATCATGGGGGCCCTCGCTCACCTGCCCCCCAAGGAGCTTCGCTGCTTTGGGGGTTGGGGAGGGGAGGCATGGCCGGCAGCTGTCCTTCCCAGGAATGGGAGAAATGCCACAGGGGGCCAGTGCCTTAGTCTGTTTGGGTGGCTTCTAAACAATTGAAATTTGTTTCTCACAGTTCTGGAGGCTGGAAGTTCAAGATCAGGGTACTGACAGATTCAATGTCTTGAGAAGGCCACTTTCTGGTTCACAGATGGCACCTTCTCACTGTGTCCTCACATGATGGAAGGGACAAGGCAGCTCTCTGGGGCCTCTTTTATAAGGGCACTAATCCCATTCACAAGGGCTCCACTCCCATGACCAAATCACTTCTCGAAGGCACCACCTGCTAATACCATCGCATTGAGGGTTAGGGTTAGGACATATGCATTTTGCAGGGACACAAACATTCAAGTGAGAATAGCAGAATGCATGAGTTCTCTGGGTCAACTCCCCCCTTGTGCATGTGGGGAAACAGGCCCAGAGTATTTCAGCCAATAGCCTGTGGCCAAGACAGTGCCAGTCAGACTGGCTTCCCTTTCTCCTTCACCTCTGCCCTGGATCCTCTCTTAGGTCCTCTCATTCTCTGGGGGCAGCAGGAAGGAGTAGGGTTGACTGCAGGCAGGTCACCAATCCTTCCTGAGCCTCCGTTTGCTCGTTTATAGAATGGGGGTAGTAATCCCAATGTGTGGGGTGTTGTCCAGATTAAACGAGATAATGTATGTAAAGCCCCTGACACGTATTCCTTCTCATGCCCTCAGAGAAACCCAGCTGTCAGACATTCCTCTTGTGTATCTGTTAAGGGATTACAAAATTAATTTATCCCAGAGGCCTTTGCATTTTAAAAGCTTCCCACTAAATTCTCTGAGCTCTGGCACCTGCTAAGCAGGAGAAAAGTAGGTGGCAGATTACAGTCCCCAGACTCGAGGCTTGTGACTCTTCTCCTCCCACCCGGCAACCTGCCTTACCCCCGCCTCAGGTCGAGAGGAGGCTGCCGTATTTCTGGTAGCTCCAGTTTCCTCAGGGGCTTGCTGTGGGCGATTCTGCCAGGGAATTTTATGAAAACAAAGTTTTACTGAATAAGCGGCTTTAAAATGGCTGTGACTGCTCCAGGAAGTCTAAGCAACACATCCTCATGAGCTGGAACTCTTATCCTTCTTATGCATCATTAGTCAAGGGTCAGCTAGGTGGCTAGGAAAAACAATAACAAAACATGAGTGACAACTACCACTTTCATAGTGATTTTCTGTGCCAGGCACCTTTCTAATCAAGGTACTTACATGCATGATCTTATTTTAATCCTCTCAACAATCTATAAGGCCGATACTATTACTATCCCCAAAAGAGGCACAGAGAGGTGAAGTGACTGACCCAGGTCACACAGCTGCTGAGGTTGGGCCCTCCCTCTTGGCTGGGTCTCTTTCTTGTCCTCTACCTGCATGTTCCTCAACGCAGAGCTGAAATATCCATTAAGCAGAATAGCCCACAACATTTTTAGGGGCCCCCAAATGTTTTAATTTGAAATCCAAAGAAAAAAAATTTTTAGGTAGAAGAAATTGTCTTAACATATTCTGTTCATATATTCATCTTTATACCAACATGATTATAAAATGTTCTTTTAAATATTTTTTATAGAGGTACCCAGGTCCCTCAAAAGTCATAATGTGGCCCTGCCTCAATGCATTTTGTGGGGCAGGTGTGCGTGTCTGTGTGTGGGTGGACGATGCATTGTAACTTTCTGCTGGAGGCTGTTGCTGTCAGGGGCCTGAGCAATCACCTGGTCAACACCCTCAGTTTATAGAAGAGTCTGGGATCCAGGGGGTTAAGTGACGGGCACACAACAGCTGGGGAGCAGAACTTAGGTTTCTTCTGTGGCATCAGCTGCAAAACTGAAAGCCTTGTAAAAACTCCCCCTCTTTGGGAGAAAGCCATGAGCTAGCTCTCAGGAATGACATGTGAAATCCTGCCACATTCCCAGAAAATCTTGCTCTGAGCAGAATTGTGCAATGTGCTGCAGGTCCAGGCAGAGTGCTCCTTCCTCAAGCCAGTTCCAGCAAATAGGACTTCCTGTGCCCTGATCTCTGTATCTGCTGGGCCCATCTGTGGGGCCCTTCAGAGTGCAGAGGGTCAGGACAGTCCCTTGCCCCTTCCTGGGCAAGCTTCTGACCCTGGAGAAGGGCCCCGACTTAGGGGAAGCTGCAGAGAAAGAAGATGTCACCTCCCCCAGGTGGGATAAGACCTGAGGCTCTTACACATCACCCATCAGGATCTCAGTCATCAAAGCACAGGGTGGGGGCCACTTTTCTTTCCTTCCAACCCCTGCCCCCAGGGCAGTTGGTCATCTGAGTATCTTTGATCCCCTGTAAGGATTTCCTGGATGTCACTTAGGCAGAACAGTGGGAGGGGAGCACATAGTGAGGTTCCAGGGCTCCATGCGTCCACAAGCCCCCAAATAAGAAAGTTTACGACTTCTGGCCAAGCAGGAGAGATGGGGTCATTACAGGAGGGGGCTTTTCCACCCACTGCAGTTTCAATGATCTTTATAACCTATAATCTCTGGGAGCACCTGGCACAGAGCCAGAAGCCTTCCCTGCAGGTGCTCTTGAGGGTCCTCATCGCATCCAGCATCTCATCCAGGGGGCGGGCCACTGCCCAGGGGGCGGATGAGTCTCTGAGAGGAAGGCGACTCTGTGCAAGCAATAGGAGGTGCCCATTTCCTGAGGGCAGCCCAGACAGGTCCCTGGTTCGAAGGAGAGGCTGGGCCCAATCCACCCTGAGCACCAGCCCAGCCCAACACCCCTTCCTCCAGCACCACCACACTGAGCAGGTCATCTGAACAGAGACGTCCCGCGACAGCCTCTCGCTGTTGTGGGCTATGTCCTCAGTCCCATCTTCTCTTCCTGTTTTATTTTTCTAAGAGGGACTTTCTTGTGGATTGATGCTTAAAAATAGTTGATAGAGAGGAATTTCTCTAAGACTGTATACCCCTTGGATGACCTTTTCAGTCTGGAAAGAGAAAAGATTACAAATCTAGCCGCTTCCTAATAATCCTGGGGATCAGTTGAAACAAAAATACCTTGTCTAAGCAGCCAGCTGTCTGCTTCAGTAGTGCGCCCTGGTTAGAAGAACTTCCAGGGGCCTGGGGTTTCTCCTCCATTTGTTAAGAGAAAAGTTGCAATACTGATTTTTTTAAATTAAAATTTAATTTTTAAAAATTGTGATAAAACATTGTACACATTAAATTTATACAATTTTTTGTTTGTCAATCATACCTCAATATAGCTGGAAAAAATAAAATTGTGGTGAAATGTACATAAAATTTACCTTTCAAGCATTTTTAAGTGTACACAACACAGGGGCATGAGGTACCTTCACATTGTCGTGCAAACATCGCCACCACCCACTTCCAGAATGTTTTCATCTTCCCAAACCACAGCTCCACAGTCATTAAGCCATAACCCCATTCCCCTCTCCCCCAGCCCCTGCAAACCACCAGTATACTTTGTCTCTGTGATATTGATTATTCTAGGTACCTCACATAAGTGGAGTCATACAGTTTTTGATTGGCTTTTGTGACTGGCTTATTTCACTTAACATAATGTCTTAGAAGTTCATCCATGTTGTAGCTTGTGACAGGATTTCCTTTCTTTTTAAGGCTGAATTATATTCCATTGTATGTTTATACCACATTTTAGTTATCCACTCCTTCATTGATAAACATTCGGGTTGTTTCTACCTTTTGGCTATCATGAACAGCGTTGCTATGAACATGGGTCTACTAAGACCTGTTTGAGACTCTGCTTTCAATCCTTTTGGGTATATACCCAGAACTGGAATTGCTGGATTACATGGTAATTCTATTTTTTATTTTTTTGAGCAACTACTATACTGGTTTCCTCAGTGGCTGCTCCATTTTATATTCCCATCAGCACGGTGCTGATTCTTAATTCAAATTGTAAAGATGTGAGATCAAGGAGATGCACTATCATCATGGATTCTTTTGAAATATACCCAAGGAGTTGGTCAGAATCGTCAGGAGAACTGCTGGCAACAAAGTAGATTAGGTTCTCCAACCAACATGTTTTTTTGTTCATAAGACAAATACCTATTTTTTGAGCTTCAGCTATGTGATGGGCAGGATCCTTGGCCCTAGGGACCCAGTAGTGAGCAAGACAGACACAGTTTGGAGTTAATGCTGTAGTTGGGGATGTCACACTGAGGGCTGTGGGAAGGAAAGTTTGGGGAGCTGTTGGGATGCACAGCAGGGGCTGGTCATGGGGACCAGGGAAGGGCTGCCCAGAGGAGGAGTCTCCCTTGCCTGGGAAGCGTGCACTATTGAGTCCTTATTACATTAAATTACTTTCCATGAAATGATATATTGTTCTCAAGAAGCTAGCAGTTTACTGGGGAGACAAATAATTAAGTGCAATCAAGTATTACAGAAGCCATGCAGGGTGTCTCTTCTGATGGAGCAGGGGAAACAAGGGAGTGGTCAGCTCTGTCCAGAGGATCCCAAAAGCCTGCATTCAGAAGGTGCCACTTGCCATGAGTCTGGAAGGACACGCAGTGGGTATGA